TATGGGCATTAAATCATACTCAGATTGTCAATTTCTACAGAGTAACATTGATGTATTTTCAGCCTGGTGTAAGGACAATAAATTGACTCTCAATGCCTCAAAATGCTGTGTAATATCCTATAGTCGGTCCTACAATATTATAAAGTTTCCTTACATGATCGAAGGTGAGATACTCAATAGAGTGAGTACCTGCAAAGATCTCGGCGTAACATTTGATGATAGATTATCGTTTTCTCCGCATATCAAAAATATAATTAACTCGGCAATGAGAACACTAGGTTTTGTTATTAGATTAACTAAAAAGTTTACGAACATTAAAGCCATCTTAACACTTTATATTGCGCTGGTACGTCCTAAGCTGGAATATGCTGCAGTGGTCTGGTCTCCTTTATATGCTAAGCATAAGCTGGAACTGGAAAAGGTCCAACGTAGATTTTTAAAGTACCTTGCTTACAAAAAGTATGGGATATATCCTGAAAGAGGCACAGAGTATCATTCTCTCTGCTTGGATGCTGGGTTACTTTTTGTTCAGGAGAGGAGGATCTGTGCTTCGATACTTTTTGTAAAAGGCCTATTCAATAGTAGCATAGAATGTCCTAGATTTTTGCAACAGTTTGCAATAGCAGTCCCACAAGCTAACACTAGGTCAAACCCTACGTTTTATCTTCATTCAGTTCGTTCAAACCTGGCTAGAAATTCTCCACTTTACAAACTGATGTCTCTATGTAACTACATATGCGACAATGATCAAATGAAATTAGACATAATGTGCTTTAATCAGCCCATGACGGTCAGCGTGCTAGCAACCATTTTAGTATCTAAGAGAGCCAATTACGAATTTATAACCACCTGACGTTTTGACTTATGCATTTCCTATATAATTAATGTTACTAATCTTACTTACTATTAATATTATTTATTTCATAATGTTATTAATTTAATTTACTGGAATGATAATAAATTTAGATTAACCATTCTCAATTATTAACAGAATACCTTTGGCCGCTGTCTTCTCTTTAAGTCTTAATTTTTAGTGTCAATTTTGTCTTCTGAATTTACTAATTGATTAGTTAAAAATTAGTGTATCTAATTATAAAAATTAGTTGGTACCTAAAATTGAATTATGATTTTGTAAAAATTTTATATATTGTATTTGCATTATGATTTTGTAGAAATTTTATATATTGTATTTGCAACTGTATACTTATGTGACCCTGTTAATGGCCATTGGCTGTTGGGTCTTTTTTAAAGAAATAAATAAATAAATAAATAAATACGGTTTTTGTGTGTGTTTATTCGAAATTAGACCAACACAAATGCGAATAATCGTGTTGCGCCCTTTTAACATATTTTTTATGTGTATTTATCCTCGGAGCAATTGACGTTGGATCTAATGTCGCGGATCTATTGTCGCGGATCAATTGTCTTCGGATTTTCGGTCGCGTTACCGATTTTTTTATATATAAAATAAAATATTTCAGTGGCAGAGATAGCCGGGCGGCACACGCCTGACTTGGGCGATCACCCAGTTAAGCAGCATTGAGCGCGGTTAGTACTTGGATGGGTGACCACTCTAGTCGACGTTGGCTAGCGCGAGGGATCTCTGCACACTAGGAGAGGGGCCTAATGCTCCAGTGGTCGATAAAGAAAAGTTTCTTATCAATCACTGTAGACTTAGCCCAGCTCCGATTGTACTATTATGGGTTTTCTTTGTGGTTTTCCCATGTTACTGTTCCAACAGACTGAGGCTCAGGGCAAATGCGGTACAGAAAGCACAAGTCGGTCCACAGCCGCAATATAAAGTAGAGGAAAGTGTCGGGTGTGACTTACTGAGGTCCAATATGAAGAAGAGCAAGTAAAGCGTAAAAGCTAGGAGAAAGAAAGAGATCAGCCTTGTAAAAACCGAGAAAGGTGTATAAGTAAAAAGCAATTCTTCTTCTTCTATATATAATATTTCTCATATTTGTGAAATATATAAAATATATAAAAAATTCGTGTGGGTATTTAAATGAAAGGTCTCGATCAGTGTAACATCAAGATGAGCTTATATCGTTAAAAATATCATCAGGTGACAAAATACAACATCATTTCTTAATTATTGACATTTTTTAAGGTATAAGCTCATCCTGATGTTAGGCTTTTCGAGACCTTTCATTCGAGTACGCACATGATTTCTCGTCGCACGTACGGAATTTTTAAAATTTTTATTTTAAAGATTTTATTAGCCGGGTTAAAACAAAAAAAAACAGTAAGAATAGTTTGAAAATTTTCAATCAGTCGCCATTTTTTTTTAAATTAAAATTTTCAAAATTCCGTACGTGCGACGATAACTACATCCTTACTGATTAAAAAGCAATTTGGATTTTTATTTTCAGATGATCCGTTTTTGAGTTATCGAACCGACCATGGAGGTGGAAATTTTTTCTAGTGCTCTACGAGACTGTTAATAACTTTGTAATAATTAAATATTTTTTAATAAAAATTTAGCGTAATCATCTTTAATGTACCCTTAATAAAATAGAAAAAATCCGATCCTCAAATTCCTTTATTTTCCCTGTCAAAAAAATTCCCAAAAATCACCTCTTTTTTTCGATTGTCACAGTGGTGTTCCCCCTTACACAATGCAGAATAATGGGAATAAATGAATACTAAGGTAATTATTTATTTACTATTCGTTATTATTTACTAAAAATACGATTTTTTGATTTGTTTACAAAAGTAAATATATTATAAATAAAAAGCCTGAATAAAATTTTTCAAGTCTTGATAATTAAAATATTCAACTATCATTATTACCAATTCATATGACAAAGGGATAGCTTTGCGGAGATTTTCTACTCTTTTTAATGCTTCTAACTGCTCAAATCTTCTTGAAGTTTTTTGTATTCTAATCGAAATTTGTCTCCGGAAGAAAAAATAATCATGATTATCAAAAGATTCCTTAGAAAAAGAAGTAACATCATCTTTACCAAAATATTTCTTAGAAAAAATACGAAGATGAGGGTTTGGGAAGGTATTTTCGAAGGCGTCTATTAAGGATTTATTTTTCACTATCAATCGTAATTTTTTATCATCAAAACATGACATTATAAAGTCATAATACGTGATACTTTTATCATCATACTTAAGCACGTGTGTTTTTAACTCCCCTTGAATAAAATTTTGTTCGTAGGCATGTGCTAGCCCCCTGAAATATATGTCTTCAGCCAATAACTTGTCCATCGTTATTTTTTCATTTTTAGGAACGAATAAACCAAACGTACTCTCTTAAAAGAAATCAGTGGAATTTCACTGGTTCGCCAGTGGAAGTTCACTGATTCCAACCAGTGAGTGCAATGTCACTGGCTATATGATATTTCTCACATTTGTGAAATATATAAAATTTATAGAAAATTCATGTGGGTATTCAAATGACTGGTCTCGATAAGCGTAACATCAGGATGAACTTATCTTATAAATGTCGATAATTAAAAAATTGTAAATAATTAAATAATAATAATAAAAAGCGTATTAGAATGACGGTATCGATATGCTTATTATATACTTATTTGCTCGACCTACCACTGTGCGAGAAAAAATTAAACTTTCTTTCGCCATCTATCGATTGTAACCGAACTGTTTCCCAATTGTTTTCACAAGGTTAAAGACATTTGATACAAACTTTTTGGTAGTTAGAAATAACATTACAAGAAGTTGTAAATGAAATTATTGAGGATAGTTTGCACTTCTTTGACCTCCCTTCGTTAAAATTACAAAACTAGGTACCTGTAATCTATAATCTAATATTACGTAAATGTAATAAATACAAGTTGTCCATTAAAATGGATCAATAAAACAAAATATTGCCTTTGCAGGTATCTAATTAAAAATTTTAGAATTTTTTATTAATTTGAATTGTTTTGTTAAAAATCAAAGTTATTTTGGAATAATAATGATTTATGATTAAGAATCAAAAATATTCTAACTATTGATTTAATTATTGAAATTTATCGATTAAATCGAAGCCCAAAAGCTGGAATAATTAATTCCTCGGTGCTCCGAGCTGAATAAACAGGTTAATTCTGCAAAGCATTCTATCTTAACATCTGGAGTAGTGCCTCATTTATTATTTTCAATGGAGACGGCATATGAGAGTGTATGAGTGTCTGTGTCTATATCTGTATAGTCAGAGCTCGTACATATTACAGTCTAAAAAAAACTAAAATATTATAATGTTACATAAACTTTATCTTTCATATTTTTCTAATGCACATCTAAATTAATTTTTTTTCCGTCAAAAATTCTCTATAAAAAAAAAGTTAGACAGTTATTTACAGCTGTATGCAAAATATGTAATACTAACTTTTATAAAATTTTTTTATTGAAAGCCTTAGTACGGCTGAATGGATAAAAATTTTTATAGCATTCGAAAAAATTTGTTTTTCGTTAGTATAAGTGGAAGGCAAAAAATTTAACATATCAAAGTACAGGAAAGTGTTTTATTGTTAATAAAACAACCCTATTCTGTCCGTTCCTTCATATTTGCCGGCGTATGATCCATAAAATTCGCAACTACAAAATATCAAACGTATAAAAAAAAAAAAAAAAAATACTTCGGTTTTTACGAAATTTCACCTCAAGTTTTATCAGATTTAGAATTGTGCATATCAAATAAAGCTTGCTGCTCGCTGCATGCATTAGTCTACAGTATATTTTCCCTTAGTAAAAAGTTCTGTTTCCTTAAAAGTCGGGAAAAAGTTTCCATTTCTTGTGCAAGTACAATAAAGCGATCGACCACTCAGGCCATGGCGAGAATATTTTTCTCAAGTGTTTTCTCTCTGAGCGTGCTCTATTATTGATAATAATTCAGCTACTTTATTTCAATAATATATCTTATTAATTTAACTTTTTTTACGAGCGCCCGATTTTGTCTTACTGTGGAACAGCTCAAATTATTTACTACAATAAATTCAATTATATAAAAACAAAAAAATCAAGTTTATTCTAAAAAAACAGAACCGTCAACTGACCGAATCCTTGCAAACATGATAACTATCCACTAAAACAATTAATCGGGTTCATTATTTTTTAATAGGATCGTAAATTAAAAACTTTAATAATTGTATTGAAAATAATTATTAATTTCAATTACCAGACTCTATACTAAGCTTTCTAGAGCTTGCAGAAATAAATTATAGCTAAAAACACAAGTTTGATTAAAAAACCAAATTAAAAAATACGAAATAATTTTGAATGATCTTTCATAAGTTTAAAAATAAGGATCGAGTGATTAAAAAAATCATTTTATTGTAAAAGAGCATGGAGTGTTTTATAATGCTTAATAATATCATAAAAAGCAACTCACGATTTTTTTATAATAAAATAATTATTTTCTTTTCAATTACTAGTCTTATTTCAAACTAATTAAAAATAGTTCAAAATTCTTTCTACTTTTTCGGAATAATTGAATTGTAATACTTTATTTCATGAAAAGAAGGATAATATAAACTGTGTTTCATTGAAATAAACACTTACATGCATACATGCAGGTCAAGCTAATAAAACAAATTAATTTAATATCCATTAAGTTATTATCAACATTTTTTTTTAATAAGAGCTTTATGTAAGTCGGTCAATAAAAAAGCAACAAATTAAGATTCCAATTAAAAATCTTAAAGCGGTTCCATATAACATCCATAAAAAAGAGGTTAAGCGTGTTAATTTTCAAGAAATAATATCCCGCAAGAACGACGTTTGTATCTTTGATCATGATAAGTTAATTGTTATGATCAAAAATAAAATTTTCGAGCCACGGTGCATTTTAGATTAAATTTGAATTTATTATAAAATATAATTTTCATAATAAATTTATTCTAAATTTAATACGAGAATGAAGGAATAAGAATCAAAAGCCGAATTGAATGATTTTTTTTTTTTTTCATTCGTTACGTAACAAATTTTGGTAATGTAAAAGTTTCTTACAAACAAAACTTTCAACGCAAAATTTCATTTAAAAATTTTTTTTAATTTAATATTTTACTTAAAAAATTGATTGTATTCAAATTTATTGTAAATTAAGAATAGTTTTTTAATAAAATGAATCTTATATTGAACTAATGTATGATCAATAAAAATGTACCTTATTTAGTCATAGGTCAACGGTAGAAGTATATAAAAAGCTATACTCATCCATCTAAGTTCCACAAAGATTATTAGATTATTACATACGATTTGGAAATCGTGTGAATTGACACACTTCGAATATTAAAAAAAAAAAAAAACAACATTTAAACACGCGATGGGATGTTAAAGGTTCTGTCATTTCCGCTACCTCAAAGTACTCGGTTATTTAATGAGTAAAGAATATACATCCCTTATATCTCTTTAATTCCGATTTTATGAGTAAAGATAGTATGAGTTCACTATAAACTAACGGAAAGTACACCGTCAACCTTGTTTTACTGACAAGTTCATTGACATACTTGGGATAAACTACCCTATAATTTATAACAGAGAGACAAAATATTTTAAAGCTAATGTTTTGAAGAAAAATAAAAATTAACTGTGTAGAAAAAGTTATAAATCAAAGTAACTATCCCTTACAAGAAACTTGATCCTAGCTTTGAAATTATGTTCCGGTTTTTTATAATAAATATATCAAGTATCTGTAGACTCTAAACCGCTTGCTGATTACGGGTGAAGAGAAAAATTGCTAGATATTTTTTTTTTCAGCTTGAGCTACCCCGAATGACGATAATAACTTTTAATGACATTTCAAGAAATCTACTACTTTTTAAAGGCGAAGACTAATTTTTCCGGACATGACAAACTCCTTGGAAACTTTTTACGGAAAAATATTTGTGTAAAAAAATACAAGAATTAATTAACCGCAAAAGATTATGAATTTTTAAGGTGCACCTTACATGCAATATCCTTTTTGTTTTCAAAAGAATTTTTAATGAAATTTAAATGAAAAAATGTTACTTATTACTTTTTGTCGAATAATTAAATGTGCTATGAAATTATAAAGTAAAAATGCTTTAAAGTGGTTAAATTTTTTCTTAAGTTAAGCTTGGTGTTGGAATAAACTTTGTTAGTTAATTAAATTTTATTTTTATTAAATAAATATAATTGCAAATTGACTAGACTAGCAGAAAAATAATTAAATTATCATATCATAACTCATAACACACCTAATTAGAAATTTTTTAATTTGTCTAGCGAATCTAGTGTTACAATAAATGAGATTACTACACCAATCATAAAATGGTTAGAATAAAAAAAAATTAATAATACGAAATTATCTAATTTTATGAAATTTGAAGACTGAAGTATAGTAGAAATATCCTTTGCAATCCGACAGGTTTTGGAGTTTTTGCACATGCTTATTTTGTTAAAAAGAAATGACTTTTCGGATACAGAGAAAAATTGTTCATTGGAGGAATAATTTTCTCAACTTAAGGAATAATTAAGGAGAATGAAAATTCTTTTGGCTGAAGTAATGTTTTTTTGAACCAAGACCCCTTGAAAATTTTCTTGGGTCAAGTGAACGATTTTTTTTGTATACTTTAGTAAATTTTATTAGCAAAAAAAACAATTTTAAGTTAGTGTAATTTTTCCTCCAAAAAAAAATTAATTTTTTAATGAAAAAAAAAAAGTTTCTGGTTCATGACATTTATAACTGTTCTTTTCGCAACAATCTAAAAAAAAAAAATTTCATTTTCGTATCAAATAATCAATGATTTTTCTTAATTAGATTTTTAAAAATTCAAACAATTGAAATTTTTAAAAACTCAAAAATTGACTTACCAAGCATTTTAACAACCCGCCTAGAAGATTTTCCAGTGTTGCGATTATCCCACTTAGACTTTCTGCTCTCCTGAGCACTGCGCGTTCCCTGATTTCTAATGTTTCTCTTCTTCATCATCCTCGATTTCCTGAGCTTCAGCCCAATCATCGAGTAAAGAATCGTGATAAGAATCATTGGTATGATGAAGAACAGCAGAGTCGCAAGCTCAAACGAGTGCTGAAGGTAAGGGTTTTTCAGTGTACAAATAACCATATCAGGACTGATATGCGTAGCTTCGATAACTCCATACTGCAGAGCTAAAGGCAACGCAAAGCAAATTGCGACCACCCAAATTATTAGGATCATTTTGACAACACGCGACAACTTGGACATCGTATGAGATAAAAAGGGGTGGCAAATTGCGATGTATCGTTCGATAGTGAAAGCCGTGATTGTTAAGACACTCGCGTATGTTGAACATTCTGCAACTAGCCCGCGAACAATACAAAACCATTCCCCAAAAATGTAAGGGTACTTGGACCACACTAGGTAAATTTCGGGAGGCAGTCCGAAAATCAGAAACACAAGATCCGAAACTGCCAAACTGAACAAATAATAATTGGTCGCAGTGTGCATCGACTTAATCCGATAAATCACGACACATGTGCTCACATTTCCGATGATTCCGGCGATGAATATCACCAAATATATTATCGTTACTGGTACTACGATATAAAGTGAATCGCGGCGTGATACCAAAGTTTGAGATACCGCGTCTGTCGTCGAAATCGGTGGAAATGTTGAAGATACTTCTTCGGTCAAATTGTGAAAAAACGATTCCGTTGTCGTCTCCATTCTTTTACTTTTTTTTTGTCGCTTAATTTTTATTCTCAAGGATTGAAATTTTCTGATACAAGTCTTTTGTTTATTTTGTACAGAAGCATTTTCATTTGTTTAATTTTTTTTTTTTAAGATTTTAGGGAGCAAAAACAGTTTATTAAAAATTGCAACGTTTTTTAATCACTGATTAAGTTTGCGATTTTTCAGGACGTCGGTTAAGAAGAAGACCTGCGCGAAAAGAAGACAAACCAAGACTGAGGATGATTACTAACGGTCAGTCAGCGTCGACGGCTAAGTTACGATAGTGGGGAATAGCATTCTGCGCCGGCGGAGAATATTATCAGCCGAATATAGGTATATTGTATGATACATAACGTATGATACAGGAAAAAAAGGAAGGAAGAGAATTTACAGAATCGGCAAATATACAAAGAGCTGCTGGTTTTGCAAGTTCTGATGAAGGAAATACGTACGAAGGTGAAGGACGAAATGGGTTTAATTTCTATAATATAGAAGTAATTGATTGGTACTTTATTTCGCATGTTGCTATAGGAACGGTTGGATTATTTTAAGAGGAAAGTCAGATTTGTATGGAAATTTGTGATAAAATTTAGATGGTAGAAATGAGTTATGAATACCCCGAATTTTCGGTGCTTCATAATAGAAGGAGTGAAAGACAGGCTGGGATTTTTTAAAAATTATAATTTATTAAATTAGGACCATTTAAAATTGTTTTGTATAATGTTTTGAGTATCTCATTATAAGAATATTTAGTATCTGATAAACTGCGATAAATTTAGTGCAGGAACTGTCAGGATTATGGATCATGTTTTAATTAGGGTTGAGTTTGTTAATTTGATTATTGTCTAATTGAAATTATGTTAAAAATTATTTAAAAATTTTTTTTGTAAAAAACATAATTATATTCCTCATGGAAAATTTAGTAGAAAAACAGGCTAATTTATGAGTTATTATATTTCAATTGAACAAATACATTTATATAGCTGCTTCATAAGTACAGCCAAAAACTTTCAAGTACAAAGTTCCGATTAAATTTAAATCCTACACAACTACAAACTCGCAGTCACTATACGAATGTCGAGAATTACCAATTCTGAATAACAGGAATTTCGCTTAGTGATTTATCGATGTTTTTAATCGCAATGAAAATACACGGGAAAAAAAAATTGTACGAGAAATGACGTCTGTCAGATCGTAATCCAAGACTAGAAATAAAACATTTTTACTTAAATAATTTACTACTTGTATGCGAATTTTTATGATATAACATCTTAATAATTCGTATGTAAACAGTAAAAACTAAAATATTGAAAACCTGATCCTGGATTACGATGGAAAAATCGGAATTTTTAACTTCCCGCTAAGAAAATCAATGATTTTCGAAAAATCGGGAAGTTATTGTTTTTATCCCGTTTTTCGAAAATCGAGTTTTCATCAGATCTCGACGTTTTGAGGTCCTAGGAAGCTTCCCTGACTATTCCCGCGATGGCGTCTGTATGTCTGTATGGCTGCGTGTGTGTGTGTGTGTGTGTGTGTGTGTGTGTGTGTGTGTGTGTGTGTGTGTGTGTGTGTGTGTGTGTGTGTGTGAGTATGTGAATCGCTTATAACTTTTGAACGACTAAACCGATCGGAACCAACCAAACGGCGTTCTAAAGAGTTCCCTCAAACTTAGATTTCCTGAAAATTTGAACCGATTCGGACCGATAGATTTTGAGAAATTTTGAAAAATCTCAAAAAAAATAAGAAAAAAATCATTTTTGAAAGTGGTTTTTTTGGAATCACTTTTAAACGGCTCGATCGATCAACTCCAAAAACTAATTCGCCCTTAACCTTGAAAAACCACGTCGATCACCGCTAATTCGGTCAAAATCGGTTGATTCGTTCGAGAGATAGCGTGAACGAAAGAAAACCGACAAAAGTTTTTTTTTCACATAACTTCGACATTGCTTATCGGATCGTTTTTAATGAAATAGAACAATTTTTGGAGCTTAAAAAACTGCGTCGATCGCCGCCTAAAACGTAAAAATCGGTTGATTGGTTCGAGAGATATCCTCGACGAAATATTTGGAAACAAGTGTTTTTTCAACATAACTAGAATCCAAATTTGCGCGCGCAAGCGCGCGCCTGACTATAGAGTTTGCATATATTTTTATGCTTATGATATATAGTCCACTGACTTTACTCTTACCCGTTGTGGAAACTAATTAAATAGTGGAATTTTTTTGTTCTATTTTATGTAAAAAAATCCGTAGATTACGAAAATAATAATAAAAAAGCTCAACTCCCCCGGGTTTTTTAAATAAATAATAAAATTACACTAGGGTCACTGAGACACCATGTATTTTCATTAAATAACATATATATTACCGTAAAAGCCTATTAAAATTGGTATTGTATTAAAGGGCGGAAAATTCTGAATTAAAAACCACAGAAATAAACCCTTTGCAGTTAATTATATTCGCGAAAAAAATTAATGGAAAAAAAAAAATTATTCGTTTACGTTTAATCACACGGTCGGTAAAAAAGCAACAGTAACTGAGGTTGGTGGTGCGCGCGAGCTCGGGCACAGAGGTTTTCATCCACTGCAATTTGAAATGTTGACAATATTCTTTAACATAGAAATTCAATCAATTCATAATAAGAAAAGATTACATACAAGTATTATAATATTTTTAAAATAATAGAAAATTGAAAAAAAAATTCTACTTACGGTTATTATTAAAAATTATCTTAGTATTTAATAATTGGCAGTGGATGAAAACCACTGTGCCCAGGCTCGCGCACGCCACCAACCTCAGTTACTGTTGCTTTTTTACCGACCGCGTGATTAAACGTAAACAAATAATTTTTTTTTTCCATTAATTTTTTTTGCGAATATAATTAACTGCAAAGGGTTTATTTCTGTGGTTTTTAATTCAGAATTTTTCGCCTTTCAATACAATACCAATTTTATTAGGGTTTTACAGTAATATATATAAGTTATTTAATGAAAATAAATGATGTCTCAGTGACTCTAGTGTAATTTTATTATTTATTTAAAAAACCCGGGGGAGTTGAGCTTTTTTATTATTATTTTCGTAATCTACGGATTTTTTTACATAAAATATAACAATAAAATTCCACTATTTAATTAGTTTCCACAACGGGTAAGAGTAAAGTCAGTGGACTAATATTCGACCAATCACGTTATGAATAGTTTGATGCCACATACATTTCATCTCAATTTTATTATGGGACTCTGACATTTTTTAGAATAACTTTTAAATGGCTCTACCGATCAATTCCAAAAACTAACCAGCTTTTAACATAAAAAAACCACGTCGATCGCCGCCAACCGCATAAAAATCGGTTCATTCATTCAAAAGTTATTGCGGCTTAAAAATTTGAAAAATTGTGTTTTATCAAACTTCTATCAGCCCTTTGAGCCTGAAGAGCTCAAAAGCATAAAAAGTTATCGCTTTAAGCTCAGAGAGCTTAAAATAACAAATAAATAGTATTTTTGCTATATAGTATAAGCTCGGAGAGCTCAAAAACATCATTAGAGCAATTTTAAGCAACTAGGTATGAAATGAGCGAGAAGTTGCACGGATGGCCTTCAGGGTCTACCGTTTTTCTAATTTTTTCTGTAATTATTGGTGCCATAGTTTTTTAGTGAGAGAAATAAGAAAAGTTCTTTCGTTTTTGTACGTATGTATCGTAGTGAATTTTAATAAAAATTCATTTTTAAAACAACTACGTAAATAATGCTATGGATATGAAATAGTGCACCAGTTGATCGAATTCTGGAACTAATAAAAAAAAGCCCGGTCTCGATACATCGATTTTTTCTGGAGTTATCGTGAGTACAGACAAAATTAGCGTACAGACATTCGGACGTCCACGTAAAATTTTTTTTTATACCTTTTTTTTAAAGTAGCAATATAAACAGATTCTTAGAAACTATATGATCGATTAACTAGAATGTTTTCTCGATGTATGTCTACTTATGTAATCGCATAAGTGCAATGAAGTTGTGATAGAGGCATTTGAAGACACCAAAATTGCTTGACCTTGACGTGTCAGGAGTAAAGCACTACCTCAACCACTTCGCGGTATGAGACGTGCAATCAAAATCCTTTTTAAAATAAAAATATGCCCTTCACGAAACTTTCCAGATTTTTTTAATTATATAGATTAATATTAGATATATAACCATACATTCACATGTACTGAACGAAATAAATAAATTTTGTCCTGCGCAAAATTAGAATCTTTTTAAAACTACTCCGAAAACACCATAGTATATTAACTAGTGCTAAAAATCATACGAAATTTTTAAACAGTACAAATTGAGGTCAAGACCTTCCCAATTATACTAAAGTTAACTTTAAAAAACTTATTTCATCATATAAATACTCCGAAGACAGAATTTTCTTTATTCTCTTGGTTATGTAAATAAAGCTTACATCATTGATTCATCGATAATCTCTATTTTATTCAATTTTTATCGACCATTGAATATTTAATCTTTTATATTACAGCAAGTTTTAAATAAAGATTATGGATGTAAATTTATAACAACATAATCAAGAACTTGACCTTGGAAAATTTTCGAACTTGTATTTAGAGTGCTGGACAAGAAGATAGAGTTAAGTGATATTATACACAAAAAAATTAGGAAAACGGTTGACCTTGAAAGCCATCCGTGCATCTTCCTACTAATTCCATATCTAAACGCTTAAAATTGTATTTATGACGTTTTTGAGCTCTTCGAGCTTAAAAATATAATTTATGTGTTATTTTGAGCTCTCCGAGCCCAACAAACACCATTCTTTAAATTTTCAAATTCCAATTACTTTTGAATGAATGAACCGATTTTCGCGGGGTTGGTATCATTCGACGTAGTTTTTTGAATTCTATGATTTATTTTTCAATTCAAATTCATCAGACCGAAAATTTTGGAGAAATTTGAAAAAATTCACTTTTTCTGAATTTTTTAGGTCCTATCAAGCTAGCATGGGCTCGTCCATCATGCATTGATTTATTATTCAAGCAACAAAATTTATTTGTGGCGCTAAATTTGTTGCTAATTAGTTGCTGCATTTAGAATATTGTTGCTTGTCTAAATTCCGAGAAATCAATAATAATATCCGTCCAAGATGGGTCTTGCCGCTGCTAGCTTGACGACGCTAATTTTTTTACCAACGATAGCTCACGAACGAATCAATCGATTTTGACCGGCCTGCGGTGACGATCGACGTGATTTTATTATGCTAAGAGCTGATTAGTTTTTGGAATTGATCGGTAAAACCGTTTATAAGTTATTCCCAAACAACTAATTCGAAAAAATGTTTTTTCGTACTTTTTTTTAGATTTCTTAAATTTTATTGGTCCAAATTGTATTAAAAATAGAAATTTATTCAAGCTCTTTCGAATGGCGCCAATCGCGATCTAATCGGTCAAGCCGTTTAAATAAATCCATATATATATACACACACACACACCATCGTAAAGATCTTCAGGAAAGCTTCCGAGGACCTCAAATCCAATAACTTCCGGATTTTCTAAAATTTTCAATTTTCTTAGCGGGAAGTTAAAAAAATTAATTTGATTCAAAAAAATTTTTTGAAACAAGAAAATCATTTTAACGAATTTTATTGTCTGAAGTCAAGCAAAAAATTTTCGATTCACATCAAATTTACTTAAACTAAAACATATTTATCAGTTATTTTTCCAATAATTTAGAAAATTATCAGACTTACACTACAAAGTTAAAAAAAAAGCTCCAACTTTGAGATGTATTTTACAAAATTTATAGCGATCACTTGTAAAATTTATTCAAAAATAAAATAAATTTCGATTTTTATCAAATACTTACCCAACATTTTATCAATTTTTTGCGAAGATTTTCCGGTATTATCATCGAACTTTTTCTTCTTGATTTCCAACTCACTGCGCATTCCTTGATTCCTAATATTCCTCTTCTTCATCTTCTTCGACTTTCTCAGTTTCAACCAAATTCGCCAGTACAATATCGGAATAAGAGTCATGGGTATAAAAAAAAATATCAAACTCGTCAGCTCGAACGAATACTTGACATAATCCGGATTCTTCAAATTGCAAATAACCGCAAGCGAGCTTATCTCCGGGTACTTGATAACTCCGTACTGCAGTGCTACAAGTGGTGCAACACAGAACGAGATCACCCAGATCATCAAAATCATCTTGACAACTCGCGACAGCTCGGAAATTGTGTGCGACAAAAACGGGTGGCAAATCGCAATATATCTTTCAACAGTGAAAGCTGTGATCGTGAGCACACTTGCGTATGTCGCGCCTTCAGAAACATACGCACGAGCAGTGCAAAAAAAATCCCCGAAAATGTACGGGTAGAACCACCAAATCACATAAAGTTCAATCGGAAGCCCGAATATCAGCAGCAACAAGTCAGAAATCGCCAAACTAAACAAATAGTAGTTGGTTGCGGTGTGCATCGACTTGTTGCGCAAAATCATGATGCACGTGGTCACATTGCCGATTATTCCGGTGATAAATATCAAGATGTATATTAATGTCATTGGTATAACTATAAAAAGTGAATCGTGAGGTGAACCCCATTGGCTGTACACCGCATTGTATTCATCATCATAAGATGGCTCCATAGGTTTTTTTTTTTTTTTAGAAATAATTTTATTAATTAATTTGAATAAGAAATTATACTGTTTGAAATTTTGATAACTTTTTTTTCAATATTAAATTAATATGAGATTTTACAAATTACTATTAAGAGATAAGACCTACCCAAGAAAAAGATAATTCAAGACTGAGTATTAATAACGGTCAGTTAACGTCGGCAACTAAATACCACGATAGTGGGGAAATACATTCTGCGCCGGCGGCACACGTTATCAGTAATAAAATGTATTCAGTCGTACAGTATCTAATTGGAAAATAGAGGCCAAAAAAGAGTCTTAAAGCTATGGCGAGGAAGATAACGTCAAAGGTGATGGTGAAGATGGGGTGGATGTTTACCAATAAGTAATTGGTAATTGATTCTTAAATCGGTGTTCAGTTTCCAGGTTTAAGTTATAAAACACGTCAGATTTTTATGGAGATTGGTGAAAAAGTTTGGGGCGATAAAAATGAGTTATTATATGGAGCTCCCGAAGTTTAGGTGGTTGATAATGGGAGCGAAGATAGGCTCGTGGGCTTTTATTGTAAGTTATTTGTTTAGGACCGATTGAAATTATTTGCGAAATGGTTTAAGTATCTTACTGTACGGAAAGTGTGTCAGAATTTTAATAAATTTTATACATATAACTAAGTTTGTGTGAAGCTTATGGATCATATTTCAATTAAATTTGATATAAGTGTAGTTTATTTATGATATTATTATTTTTTTTTTGGGAAATGTTGGAGTTATTTTTAACAGAATATATTTCAGCAAAAATAATTATTTCATTATATAATTCTACGACTAAAAATAGATTTTTGCGTGGGCTGGCTGTTACGTTCAGTTTATAATTTTTTGCTGTTGAAAAATTTACATATATTTTCCAGTACATCCAAGCGGACTCAATAATACGCTGTCATTTAGATAATCAATGATTCATTTGAGAAGAGTTAAGAAATGGCTTATTGATTGACTGATTTTAAAGTAACATTTTAACTTTAGGAACATCAGTTCTTAATTTTTCGTAAATACGTTAAATATACGGTAAATAAGAAAAATTTTTTTCGCCTCATTTCGGCAACTGTGTTGTTAGTTCACGGAATCAAGATATTTTGCATACTATTGTCAAGATAATTTAATGGAGATTAATTTGACACTTTTCAAAAATTGATTTAGCGCACTAGAAACGGAAAAAAACATCAAAGTAGGTGAAAAAATTTTCCTGTCCGTCATATATGGAACTCTGAAAACACTATAACTTGCGAAAAAATGCATCAATTAAGTTAATTTTTAACTTCCCGCTAAAAAAATAGAAGATTTTCGAAAAATCGGGAAGTTGTTGGTTTTACACCGTTTTGCAAAAATCGAGGTTTCAACAGATCTCGACGTTTTGAAGCCCTAAGAATTTTTTTTTTTTTTTAATTCTTTAGGAGAATTGTAGGTCACCGAATGCGAATGGTTAGGTAATTCAGTGTCATTCATGTACAATTAATAAAACACCCTGACATTACACTCATCGAGACTTTTCATTTGAGTACCCACATCAATTAAAAAAGCCAGAAGACTGTATATCTATATATATTAGGGTGTGCCAAAATGTAACTTCCATGATGGACCTCTTAAAATTGGAATTTTGAGTTCCGCTTTTAACAGGAGTTGTGTTTGGGCATTTCCTGACATATTTTGGGCGTAAAGGATTTATTTGATTTTTATAGAATTTTTTATCAGGAGTTTCGTTCGGCCATTTTTGCTGGAATTTAAAAGTTTCAAAATTTAGCCGAACAAAACTCCTGTTATATATATATCCATGTAAAATTTACGTGGATGGTGATATATCTATACATATTATGTACATTTATTCCATCAGGGGCACCTGTGCATTACCTCCTAGTACAGCTGTATTTCCGGCAACTAATTTTGAACGACTTATGTTTTTTTTTTTTTTTTTTTTTAATATTTCATAATTAAATGAGCATTATGAGTCGTGCACTTTTGGATTTTCCAAACTTTTTTCTTATGTGGCCTCATATGGTAATATATGCTCATCTCCAACAGAGGGCGTATGGTTGCTTAACTTGTCTCTTTAGCGAGATAAGTTTTAAAATAAAAATAATTTGTTTTTATTCTGCTAAGAAGCTTAAGTATCTGAGAATTTTATTAAGTTGTATTAACTACTTACCCAAGTTTTGATTAATGAAGCATGTCAATTGATGTCCAAGAGCAATAGAAGAACTTAAAATTGTAATCCTCAGATTATCAAAATCATTTAAGATTAAACTATCAATGAATCATTTTTTTTAATTTTCATAAATAACTTGTTTTCATTACATCAATACAATTCACGTAGAGCTAGTAGAATTCAAATCGACTCATCTCATGAATCGCCATTCAAATGCAAAATTACAACAAAAATTTTTAATATTAAATTTACATTTTTTCCTTGTAAATTTAAAATTTTTTTCAATGTGAATTTCCGGTCTTGTGGCTATTTTAGTCTAATGAATTATATGACTTACATAAGATACAGAAATAATCTACCAAAATATTAGTTACTCCATTAAGCTTGACCTTTTTTGCTGGATCCAATAAATTTAATTATTAAAAAAAATTGCAACTTTAATATGAACGTAAAATTATGTTAATTGAATAATCTCATTCTTTTGCATCATAATTTATTCCAAGAAACTAGAAGAATTTTTGCGCATTTAAAAAAATATTAAATTGAAAATCAAAGCAACGGCTAATTACTTAAAAAAAAAAAAACTACACGATTCCGTCGAAGTAGAATTGCTTTTAATTTTTTTAAGCTGCAAAAAGAAGCTCAGAGTTGATGAATTCAGAAGTTGAGTAAAATAATAATCGGTCGTAAAGTACGAGGGAAAACCAGAGAAGATAAATTTAAAGTAAAATGTGTCTTTGTGTGAAAAGAGTATACCTCAGTTGCCAGCGTGTGGAAAGAGTGATTGATTACTTGTTAAATTAACTTGTTTTTATTTTTAACTGCAGAGGTCGTTTCAATGGTAAATCTTCGTTCGTTGATTTCATTTATTGAATTTATAAATTGTTAATATCAAAATTATCAAATTTCTATCGTTACTATTGATTAAAAACTGATAATGTGATTTTTTCGGTCTTCACCTACAATGGTGTCAAAATAAATATAAAAATGTGAAAATGCACTATCCATTGATTTTCACTGATTTATGTTTAGAGAGTAGGAATAGTATTCAATTAAAAACTACACCTTACTTAGTATTCATTTGTGGGAACAATTCTTCTAGACTTTATTTTTTCATTTCGTTAAATACTTCCGCTTCTTATTTTCTCAATACCAAAAATTTTTTACCGATACAGGAGCGCTTGTAGGAGTTTTACTTTGATAAAAAACTACAAAATTAATTTTTTTCTGTCAATAATGTATTTAAGAACATGCAGTACAGTCTGATGTCGGTAATTCAGTCTGAACGAGTGACAACAAATGCCAATTGTATATATCGGTTTGTTTATTTGAAACACATGGAAAATGTACTAAAGGAGGTTATCAGACTGACTGCAAATATTCTTAAAACTGCTTGAACAAATTAATCTCGATAATTCACTTTTGGTGTATAATTATATTGGTTGTACGTTTATTAATAATTTCTTTATAGTAAAGTTTATTTACTTGGATATGTGATGGATCTTGAGATAAGGCATTTCTACGCGCGAACGCTACCTATTTATTTATTATTTTTTTTTTTAATTTGTTTAAAGTCGCATAAACTACTAAAGTCATGAGCGACTACTGTAGGGAGTAAACTTTTTGTGGTTGGACTTATTTCATTTTTTTGTGCTGAGCAGAATAATACACTTAAATATTGAAAATATTCATTGGTGTACGCCAGTCTCGAACCCGGTCCAATACTTTGGTAAGTCAGGGCCGGATCCGATAGGCTACTGCGCGCCTATTTATTATTTTGTTATTTTTTTTAATGATTAAATTTAAAAATTAAATAATCAATTTACGTACTCCTACCAAATTTCATGATTTTTTATTTAATAACTACTTGGTCAAAAAGCACCCCAGTATCTTGTTCAAAATTTAAATATTCACCTGTCCTACATGTACTTAAGCTTTTTATTTAGCATAAAATTTGAGATTATGTTGGGTCTCAATAAAATTATGAAAGTATTATTACTTTCATAATTAAGACTCTGTATGTTGCATTAGTAAGACCTAAGCTTGAATATGCGTCTGTTATTTGGTCACCTACTTATAAAAACCAAACTACAAACATAGAAAAAGTCCAACGCAAATTTCTTAAGTATTATAACTATATAAAAAATATGGTACATATCCGGAAAGACAGTCTGACTATCTTGTCATGTGTGTTGACGCCAATATTCTTACTCTTGAAGAGAGAAGAATCTGTTTATCAGCACTCCTATTAATAGGACTTTTAAAGGGTGACATATACTGTCCCAGATTTCTGAATCAGATTCCAATTTCTTGTCCACGAATTCTTACTAGATCGGCTCTACCTTTCTATCCACCTTTTGCAAAGAATAACATATTTCTGGCATCTCCGCTCTGTAGAATCTTGAACATTTGTAATTACATTGCTGATAACAGCACAGATCTAGACTTCTTTGGCTACAATCACCATACTAGTCGTAGCGCCAACGTACTTGCTACTCTGCTAGTATCACTAAGATAAGGTTACATTTAAGTCTGATATCTAACTTTAGGTGTTTATAACTTTTTATAACTTTTTATATTTTTATATCTATATTTTTATATTTATACCTTATATTCTATTTTTTATATCCTATTATTTATATTGTATATTAAAAATGTTCATAGAATAATTTACTACAGAAATTAAATCTGGATCATATCCCTGACTGACTGATTATATAAGACTAAATATTGATGATATGAAAATTATTTAAGTTCTTAATTATGTTAAATAAATCTGTTATTTGCTGTACTACGTTTATTAGTTAGTAAGTTTTTACTTAGATATACTTTGTTGATAATTGTGTATACTTGGTACAAACTCTTTAGTGACCCTGTTATTGGCTCTACAGCTGTTGGGTCTCATTATAATGAAATAAATAAATAAATAAATAAATAAATTACAATCAGTCTGCTTAAGGCATTAAAAATCCACGAATTCCCTTAGCTGCGCAAATTTACCACACACGAGTGCGTACACTTATCCGCAGTATGGGTTAAGTGTGCATATTTTGAATCATTTGGATTAATCAGTTTCTTTTTTGGAAGTGTTAGAACTTTAGACTTCGTTTCTTAATTTAATTATTAATTACCAACTAAATGAATACTCAATCGGAGACATATTTTTATTTTCTTTTTATGATTATCGTTTAATTTTGACGCTAGCTTAAATGCTTAAGCGTGCATACAATCCCCACATGTAGTCTATACGCTCACTACTACGCAACTTTGTGGGAAATAATTGCAACTGGAAATTTTAAAATCTCGAAAAATTGAGAAAAATAAGACGAATCTAACAGTACAAAAATCACTGAAATCCGTGAATAGATTATTTTGTTATTAACAAAAAACGTTTTGCAAGTAACGCCTTGATTGACTTTAAATGATTCCTACAAGAATATTTTTCACAAGAGATTAATTAAATGGACATAATAAGCAAATTCAATCTTTTCTGAATCGATTGGTATCATAATATTACCAAAAATGTTAATAAATAATAGTAAGAAAAAATAATTTATTTATGAAAATACTTGTCTAAGACTGTATCAGTTACCGACGTGGTCTGCGCAGATCCCGAGTGGGAGAAAAGTTGCGCACGCCGCCCGGTCTCACTTGAAATTTCTCGAAACGTGGATGAATTTTTTTCAAGTAATATAATAATTTTTTCAATAAAAATAAATAAACAAATTAAATATTAATAAATGTTTATTGCAATCCGTATAACTATGAAATACTCTAACATTTTTTAAGATTTTAAAATTTCCAGTGGCAATTATTACCCACAAAGTTGCGTAGTAGCGGGCGTTGACTAATGACTCTAATGTTAATTTATCACAATCCGTGTGTATATAACTATAAAGTTACACAGCTCTGTGTTAAGTCACCTCTGTGTTATATTAAGGTAACATTCAAAAAGTGTTACTTAAATATCGAAGAACATTTTTGTGTGTGGAAAAACGAACCGATCGAACAATATATTAAATACACACGATTGTGTTGGATCAATACTCTAAAATGTTAAATAAATTTTTTACACTTTACACAATGATGAAAAATTTTTTAATGTGAATAGATCATTTTCAATTAGTTTTTCATGAGTAAACGACGCTTTCTATGCACTTGAATTAATGTCTCGAAATTAATCTAATAACATTTATGTAAACTCTAAATGTCATCAATACTCACCATAAACAAAGAGCGAGTTTATACTCTTTATACTTTATTTTCCATCATAAAATATTTATCTTATCAAAATGTTTTTTTTTTTTACAGTTTCTTGTCTATCGCCAACCCGACAAAGCCTTTTTCCAACAAGTACCCTTAACATTATCTTTAATATCATCTTCCGAATGCCTCGACTTTCGGGCATTCAAGTTTAGATTTCCTCCATTTCTTAGCATGTTCTCATTTTTTTTTATCTTTTAAACAGACCTTCAATTTTTTTTATGCATCCCATCTAAAATTTAAGTTACTTTCTGCCCCTTGTACACCACTCACACCTTATACTTTAACTCTTCTCGCTATTTATTTACAACAGTCACTCGAAAAACAATATTATATTAAACATACTCTATAAATAAATGATGGAGCTTTTGAATTAAATAAAAATTCCCCTTTAATCGCTTTGTAGACGAAGAAAAGTTTCTTATTATAAGACTTTTAAATTAAAATTAAATTGTCCATTACAAATGGATTTAGCAGCATAATTCGATTTGCAATTTTCAATGCATTCTAAAAAAAAAAAGGATTTGTTATTTGGAAGAGAGTTTCAAGATAGTTAGATTAAGTAGAGATGAAAACAGAATAAAAGCAATCAAATAACTGTAAGACGATTGAATATCCGGGAAGTATGCTCAACTCGTAATATGTAATTCTGAATTTAGTGTCCAAAGTTTGCGTCGGTAAAGTTTTCTGCGCACTTCTTTCTTCACGTTATTGTGTTATCACACTTTGACTTTGGAAACTGTAACTAAAGCTCTGAAAAAATACTTTGGGATGTGATTTGCTGAAGCCTGAAATTGTGTTATCGGGCATTGAACTGATTTTGTTTAATATAAACAGATAAATAACTTTCTTACAGATTCGATAGTTTGTGAATGATTGATGGGCAAATAGTTCAATAACTTTGTTTTTTTTTTTTATGATTTATGGAGACATTGTAAAAAATTACCTCAAGTTACTTTAGAGTTTTTAATATTTCATTTAAACACATCATACTTTTTTGATATTCGTTGTGTTGTACATTAATCGAAAGAACGTCAACAGCACGAAAACAAAATAGTCGACTAAGTAAACTCATACTGAGTATTTATTACAGTTTCAGATAGTAAAAAAACTTGCTTGATTCCAAAACTGTAAAAGTTATATTATTTGTCCAGATGTAGTGAATATTATATATTAAATAATACGTCAACCCAATTTTAGGATTTCATCGATTTTTAATTTTGATTCAAAAGTTACGTCACATTGTAATTTTTATTGAAGAAAATCTCAAATTTACAAATTATAATTCCACACTAATTTACAAATTTTCTATATTTTTTTACATTGTATTTTTAAATAATTATTAAAAGAATTGTAACTAAATTTTGCATTATATCGTCGTTGTCAAAGTAAGAAACTTTAATTTTTTTGCCAAATGATGGTCTCTAACACTCTCCTTTCGTCTTGAAGACACATGCTCTAGACAGACAAACAATCGACGCAAACAAATTATTCTCCCATTGAAGGTGATAGTACCACAGATACCACAAGTGTCGAACGTTCCATACAAAGCCTTATTTGATTTACTTAGTTGATTTTCCTATGCAAAGTCACATTAGAGAAAGAGAGACAGAGATAATTTTTGAAAGTTTTTTAACTTCCCGCTAAAAATCTCAGATTTTTAAAATCGAGAAGTTATTGTTTTCACCCCGTTTTACAAAAATCGAGTTTTTATAAGATCTCGACGTTTGAAGGTCACAGGAAGCTTCCCTGACTATTTTTACGATGATGTCCGTACGTCTGTATGTGTGTGTGTGTGTGTGTGTGTGTGTGTGTGTGTGTGTGTGTGTGTGTGTGTGTGTGTGTGTGTGTGTGTGTGTGTGTGTGTGTGTGTGTGTGTGTGTGTGTGTGTGTGTGTTTGGGGGGGGGAATCCTTTTTACGGATTCTAGGCATAGTTGTTGGCCTGGATATGTGGCGACTCGACGCAGCGTCACACTAAAACTCGACGCTGACGCCCCTACCCACTAAACCCTAAACCCCTTTCTCTTCTATCCTCTGATCCCCCATGGTACCGCCGTAAGGCATTTCTTCGCGGGGGGAGGAATTAGCTGCCGCTCTTCCTTCTGGTGGCTAAGATGTAATTTCTTCCTTCTAGTTTCTGTCATTCGCTCTATTTCTTTCAATGGAACGCAGCTCTGTAAGGACTTCTGTGGCAAAAGTGCTTGTAGCGTTCCAAGCAATTTGACTCGACAACATTGTCTCTACTATTGTCTCTGGTTGGATTCTCCAGTTCAGGATCCTTTCTAACTCATTTCGCTGAGGATCAAAACGTGGACACGCAAAGAAAACGTGCTCTGCGTCCTCAATAACTCCTGGACAAGACGAGCACTCCGGAAAATCGTCATGCTTAAAGCGGTGCAGGTATTCTCGAAAGCACCCATGTCCAGACAACATCTGCGTTAGATAATAGTTGACTTCGCCATGATTTCGGTTCAGCCAAACATCGATCTTTGGTATGAGGCGGTATGTCCATCTTCCTTTTGCTGCGGCGTCCCACTCAAGTTGCCATCGCGAGATGCTGTGCTGCCGTTCTTCTGTTCTAAGTTCTTCAGGGCTCAGTGCAGTTGACCTTTTTCGTTGATAAAGGGCCTGTCTTTCCTCTGCTAGTACTCTAAGCGGCAGGGTTCCAGCAATGACGCACACTGCTTCTTCTGATATTATGCGGAAGGCACTGGCAACTCTCAGAGCGCTTTGTCTGTAAATTGGACCCGCTTTTCTCCAAGATTATTGCGTTTCTAAAGCGTCAGCCCAAATGGATATACCATATGTGAGCACAGATGTTACTACTGATGACAGCAGTAGTCTTCTGCTCTGCTTTGGTCCACCAACGTTGGGCATCAGTCGTGCTAGGCTCGCTCTAACTACTGATGCTTTGGTAGTCACATGTTCGACTTGTTTCTTGAAATTGAGTCGGGCATCAAGCATCACTCCCAGGTACCGAATGTACGGTTGTGATGTGATCTCATGTTCTCCAACTTGTAACTTGATGGTTTCTATCGCTTTCCTGCTGGTAATGAGCACTGCTTCGGTTTTATGCTTAGCTAGTTGCAAGTTCACCGTATCCATAAGTTAATCCGTCTAAATGTAATGTCGAAGGCCAGATTTATCTCTTCAAGGTGCTTCGCGACAATCACCACAGCAACATCATCTGCATATGCTACCAGTTTCTCTTCTGCTGGCAATGCTATTTTCAGGAGACCATCATACATGATGTT